TTTTTGAGAAGCTGACAATTCTTGTTGCAAATTCATAATGGTCGAGGCGGGGGACCTCACAATTCAACCCGGAAGTGGAACCAGAACTTTGCTGGAAACCGGGTCCAGCGTCCCACTACCAACTCATCTCTCTAAAAAAGCTCCTCAAAATCACCTTAAAGCTCAGTAAAAGGGTGGCTGGTTCTACGAAAGATATAACAAACACCATTCCTACAGCCATCCTGATTGTGACTGTGTAGACTCCCTGGGCTAGTGTGACCCTTCTTCTTATCTCTTGCCTGGAAGTAGCCAGTCCACTATTCTTAGGTGTCCTTCTGCTGAGACAGTAGCAAAGGACCCTTGAAGTCCCCATGAGTTCAAGAACCAAGAACGCTTTTTCCCTTGTTTTCCTTTTACTGAACGCCAGTCAGACCAGATGGCTAGTCTTATTTCCTCTTTGGCCATCGCAATCTGTTGGTGTGCAGGAAGGGTTTCTCCCCTGAATCCTTTAGCGTTCCTGCTCTTCCAAATGCTAGACATCACCGCCCCTTTACAGACCAACGCCGCGTATCCCCTCCCCTGCTGTAGGTTCGTGACAGACTTTGTTAAACCATACATGATCCATCCATCATCCCAGGGCCAATCTGCACCTGCAATGCTCTGCCACCTGGAAATCCACCATTGCCAAACTTCATCAGATAGAGGACAGTAAACCCATATGTGCGCAGAGGATTCCCATCCCCACTCACATCGTTTACATTGGATGTCCAGTGTCATGCCCTTTGATGCCATCTATGGAGTTCCTGACTTGATTCCCATCCCCAGTCAAACCATTTTCCCATCTATGGCGTTCCTGACTTGAACGCCTGTAGAATTTTAGCTGGTGTTAGGACTCGTAGGAGTCACATATAAAGCGGCTCGCCACACAGGCTGTAGTTTCGACAGGTGTCAGAAAAATTGCGAAAGTCGGCCGTCGACAGTTTACCCCCCCTTCGCCACACAGGCTGTCGAGGGGCAAGGTTTTTGGTCATGGCCAGGCGGACGGGTTTCACGGAAGTTGACAAAAGAGTCCCTGACAAAGCAAATGCGAACGCAATGTTCGAAAGGTCGGCCGGGCACTGTCGAAATTCCGTCACCTGCCGGCGGAGGGAAACGGTTGCTGGAGGGCGGCTGTCGAAAGGACCATTCTGACACCTGTCGAAAGTTTTTTGATCCGCAATTCTTCGAAAGTCTGTGTGGCGATGCAAATGTGTGGCGAGCCTCAAGGTCGCTTGACTTACCACTAGAATTTTACATGGTTTAAGGAGCAACATGCTTTTTGGGATTTGTGATTTTTGTTTATCGCATACTTTGTTCTTTTTTAATGGCTTTTTGAAATTTTCCCTATTGAATTGTCATTACTAGATTGGCAGTCGAAGGACTTGGTTCCGCAGCATCTCAGAACTACCGTCTTCACCCGAATAGAACGCCCGGTCATTATAGCTGTATTTAGGGCAACTTCCAGTCCAGATACAGCGATAATTACCGGGCGTTCTATTCGGGTGACGACGGTAGCTAGAGCAGTGCGATAGGGTAAGTTTCAAAAAAAAATAGCGCATGGCTGTACGCGACGCACGGGCGATAGGGAATCGCGTTAGCGCTGCTGCGTTAGTAGTTGCGCTGAGCCAGAACTGGTCGTTGGGGCGGCGGAGACGATAGGGTGTGTGGGCACTCGGGTGCTATGGCGGATGTTGTCTCGAGAAAGCATCACCGTGCTGTCGTCGTTACCTGGTCCCGGTCGACACCTTGTTGGCAATCCTGTTTGGATGTGGTAGGAAAGTGTTACATGTGATTGGCGGGATCCGTGCGTCGCGTCATATCAGTAGTACCAACTGATCAGCGGCGGTTGCCCCTGGTTACAGATACGGAAAAACGTTTGTGTGTATGTTAGACTGTGAAGCGTAGAGGAGACAGAGATTAGGGAAAGTGGTGAATGGACGTACGTGCGGTCAGATGCATCCAGGACGGGCCCTAATTGCTGTCCGATTTATCCCGAAAAGTCCTACTTTTGAGTATACTCTTGCTTGCTTGGGGGGAAGTGTGACGAAGCTGACACCTACCGGGAAAGTACCGGTAGATTGGGAGGTTTCTCTCCTCACCGTCCCTGATGGAGAGAGGACTGGCTATGGCGGAGGAGCTTGCCTAGGCATCGATCTTTCCCGCGTGGGGAGGGCTGTCTAAGAGCGAACTCAGAGTTGTACTTTTTCTAGCGAATCTGGGCTTGATTGTGCACAAATTTATCCAGGAAAGTACCGACAGAGAGGAGAGGAGAGACAAGGTCTCTCTCTCTCTCTCTCTCTCTCTCTCTCTCTCTCTCTCTCTCTCTCTCTCTCTCTCTCTCGCTCTCTCTCTTGTCGCAGGCCCCTGGAGAAGAGGATCGGCTATGGCGAAATAGCTTGCGTTACAAGTGTCTGCGTTTCCGGTGGAAAGCCGTCTAGGTGCAGACTTGTACTCGTCCGGCGAAATCTGGGCGGGATTATTCCCAAATACATACCAGGAAAGTCTTCCTTTGAGAATGTGCCCTAAGGGTGGTGGGCTTTTGTGGAGCGACTGCTTTTCCCGACTAGAGTGCCCAAGCAATTTGAGGAGACACGAGGGAAAACGAAACCCCACGCGATAGGTACAGAGTGATCAGCTTTGATTCCATCGGACAAATCTCGGCAAGGCAGGCGGGAGGGGGGAGGAAGGAGGGGGGGGAGGGAGGGAGGGAGGGAGGGAAAGAGGGAGAGGGAGGGAGAGGAAGGGATGGCTACAGGTTTGTCACTGAAATCGCACAGATTTTCGGACCACAAGGTTCTTCATGTTGACGTGCACCCAACGCAGCCGTGGGTCGTCTTCGCCGATTCGAGCGAAGAGGTCGTCGTCTGGGATTGGGAACATCGCCAGGTGCTCTATAATTTGAATGCAGCTGGTGTGGATGAGAAGCGACTTATCGATGCTCAGCTCCAGAGGCTGGCTGAAGGCGATGGAGATCTCAAAGGTCGCGTTGCCATAACGGAGAACCTCCGAGGTGGCAGTGTAAAGCAAGTTAAATTCTATGATGATGACATTCGGTACTGGAAGTCATGGATCGCTCGAACTGCAACAGCAGAAGCACCGTCTGCCTCACCTGGGCCCCCGATTGGAGGTGGCCCACCTGCCATTCGAGGTCGGCGATCCCTGGTGATTTGCTGTGAAAGCAAGGCCATTTTTCTCGATCTAGTGTCCATGCGTGCTCGGGACGTTCCCAAGGCACTTCTTGATAACAAGACTCCTAACTGCGTAGAGTTCCTTCCCCGGGCTGTTGGAGGTGATGGCCCATATGTTGTCTTTGGGTGTCCGGATGGTATCATCCGCGTTCTTTCCATGGCAACGCGGCAGCCAGTAAAGCGGTTTGTCGGTGGTCATAAAGGAGCGGTGTCCTGCCTGTTGACATTCTTTTCTGTTCAAGGAGAGGCGATGCTCGCATCAGGTGGAACTGATGGGATTGTTGCATTGTGGAATGCCGACAGTCAATCAAGGGAGCTGCCGGCCCGGAACACCATAAAGGCACATGATGGAGGAGTGCACAGTGTTGCCTTGGCAAGGGTTCAAGGAAGTGCGCCGCTTCTCATAACAACTGGAGCAGATCGAGCAGTTGGCCTTTGGTCTTCATCTGGACTGAAGGAGCACAGACGGATCAAGCCTATTGCTAAGATGCTCTGCTACAGTGCAACTGCTTGGTGTCATCCACGACTGCCGACTTTTGAGGTCCTCACTGTCATCAAGGATAATCATATCTGGGCGATTGAGAACTTATTGCGGGGTGGGAATGTGGCCCCCCGACCTCTTGGCGATCTGCAGTCCCTAATCCCACCGGGATCGCTGTCAACGACCCAGTCTGCCAGAAAATTGAAGGTTTATTGCATCGAGGTTCATCCACTTCAGCCGCACATTTTGGTGGCTGCGACTAGCCATGGAGTGATGGTCTGTGAGTTTGAGCCTAGATGTGTGCCGCCAGCTGTCCCATTGCCGCCGTTAGCACCTGGAAGCAAGGAGCACATGGTGGTGTTCGCAATGAATAGGGAGTTGTGTACTCTGTCATTTCAGCTCGCTCCGAGCACAACACCCACACTGGAGAGGATTCCAACCATGTCTATGTCAATGGAGCTTGGCGGTGCCGCTCGACCGAGATCGGAAGCCGATCTCATGCAACCGCAGGTTCGACAGACTCGAAATAGACGTGTCACTGTGACCCATGACTCCTATGCAGTGTTGGCTGCCAGTAAGTCAGGAAGGTATGTGTCTGTGACATGGCCAGATGGGCCTTCATATGCAGTGTACCGAACAAGTGATTGGTCAATTGTAGACACGGGAGCGGCACGGCTTTTTGCATGGGATACATGTGCAGATAGGTTTGCAATGCTGGCAATTCCACCATCCCCTGCTGCTCCCAAGGTGAAGGGAGGATCGTCACGGAAAGCAAAGGAAGCAGCTGCTGTGCAGGCCCAGGCAGTGCAGGCTGCTGCACAGGCAATGGCAGCAGCAACGGTTGAGATCAAGCAGATCTCTGATACTGGGGTTCTTTCAACTGTTTGCAAGGCCCTTGAGGGGCGTAAGGAACAGGTGATAGATCTGCAAGGAGGAGCAATGCTTGGAGTGGCATACCGGATGGGCAAGACGAAAACTTCTGTTTCAATGCCTGCAACTGTTCCAACGGGCGGCCCCGGTTTGGTCGTGGGTGCAGCGGGGGGAAGCTCGGCCGATGCTACAAAAGCGGAATTGGCAATTAATTTCCAGCTGTTCAGCTGGGAAACACATAAGCCAGTTCATGGGCTTATGCCCCAGCCGGAATGGACCGCCTGGGATCAAACAGTGGAGTATTGCGCACTTGCTTACACGAAATTCGTAACAATTTGCGCATTGCGTCCGTTGTTTCGGTTTCTAGGAAGCGTTGCTATCGCTGGTGCAACGGGCGGCATTTGGCATCACCGGCAGCTGTTTCTTGAGACACCAACAACAATTGAATGTGTATTTTGCGATGCCGGGGTGGATGAAGCAGAACAAGAGGCCAAACGGACCAAAGCTGCAGCAGCGGCAGCCGCAAAAGCAGCTGAAGAGGCAGGGGAGCTTGCAGTCCTAACTCTTGGCGTACCGGAGCAGGCCGTGATGCGAATGGACAAATTGAAGGATCGCCCACCAATGTTGCAGGTTGTTCGCTTGGCATCCTTTCAAACGCAACCATCAGTCCCGTTGATGTCGGGCCTACAGAAATTGAAAAATGATGGAGATTCTGGACCGGTTGTGCATAAGCCTGAAGAACCAGAGAAAGCAGGAGGTGGTGTGGCCGTCGCAGGTGGAGGTGTCTCTGTGGCATCGTCCAGGCTTCCTGCAGAGCAGCGAAGGCCTATCGGACCCCTTATTGTTGTAGGGGTCCGGGATGCAGTTCTCTGGCTTGTTGACAGATACATGACAGCTCATGCCATTGCCTTGAGCCATCCAGGGATTCGATGCCGTTGTCTTGCTGCATATGGCGACGCAGTTAGCGCGGTGAAATGGGCTTCTCGACTCGGAAGAGAGCATCATGATGACCTGGCACATTTCATGGTAGGCATGGGATATATCCGAGAGGCTTTGCATTTGCCCGGGCTCTCGAGAAGGCTTGAGTTCGACTTGGCAATCCAGTGTGGAGAATTGCCGCGCGCGCTTCATTGCTTGCTCAGCATGAGTGGGACGAAAAACTTTGCAGCTGCCGAAGCAGAATCAGTAGAAAGCCTTGGGGTCTTGGCACTCGGAACGCAGCAAAGCTCAACGGCACAATCAGTGGCTGGAGTCACACGTTTCGCTCAGGATTTCCTTGAGCTAATCGATGCTGCAGATGCTACCGGGCAGCGGGATATTGCTATGGCCGCCTTGAAGCGCCTAGCAGCTGCAGGCCTTGTGGAAGGTGCACTGAAACCAAGCCAGCAGAGGAGCCTTGCATTGCAGCTTGCGGCGCATGGGGAGATGTCCAGACTTGCGGCTTTGGCCAATGCACTCGTAGCGGCAGGTCAAGGACGGGAGGCTGCCGTCGCAGCCGCCTTTCTCAATGACCAGAACTTACTGGAGCGAGTCTGGGAGGAGACTGCAATGTTTCCGGAGGCAGCTCTGCATGCTAAGCAATATGGTCGTCCTTCATTGCCGTTGCTTGTCCAGAAATGGAACCGAATGCTGGTGAGGCAGGCACTCGCAACTGCAACAGCACGGGTCCCGCAGCCAGTTGGGTCCTTACCGCCATCACAACAGGCGACTCCAAGAGCAACGCCAAGATCAAGTTCCTTTGGCCCTTCATTGGTCGCTGCATTGACAAGTCCACGCACACCTTTTGGTCAAGGTGGATTAGCAGCAGCAACAGGCCTTCCGATTGTCGAGGTTGTCCCGCCCTTGTAGATAGGAGAGAGGTAGGTCAGGGATGCTGCCCGACAGCATGTTTCCTACTGAATGCCGAGTAAGGTTGCCTCTTCTCTTCTCTCTCTCTCTCTCTCTCTCTCTCTCTCTCTCTCTCTCTCTCTCTCTCTCTCTCTCTCTCGCGCGCGCGCGCGCGCGCGCGCGCATCGTGCAGGCCAGCACTTTGGCGCCTTGTTCCTGAGTGTTTGTGGAAGTGGCTTTTTTCTGACTGCCCTGTGCAATGCTGCTGTTGCAATTCTTCCTGTTTTCCACGGGGGACTTGTTTCCCACAGTGGGATGCCACGGTGGGACGGTCCCAATGGAGAGATTCACAGGGTTTTCGGAACAAGCAGCTCTCGGATTGCTGTTCTAAGACAGGCAGCACCTCCTCGTTGCACCAGACGGTCCAGTTTCCAAGGTTGCTCCTTATGGCATGCATCTGCTAAAAATAAAACTTGCCAGGAGGTCTGCTAACTCTCTGTTCCACGCATTAGATGTCCCTGTTCCCGGGGCACGGGCTGTCTCTTGTTCTGGGTCCGTTTCCGGCATGACTTATCTTTATTTGAGGCATTGAATTGTCCCTTGCTCTAGGTATGTTCCAGGCATTCATTTCTCTGTTGCAAGCATGCAGGCTGTCCCTTGTTCCAGGTCCGTTCCAGGTCTGTTACAGCTCTGTTCCAGGCTTGATGCATGCTGGCTGTCCCTTGTTCCAGGTATGGGTGGTCTCTATTACAGGTGGTATAGGTGACCTCTACCTGTGTGACAGAGATTTTTAATAGAGCTATGGGATGAGGTATTTTGAATCTCCCAATGCTGTGATTGGTTGAGGATTAACAACTTGGCTTGTTGGTTCAGACCGAAGTTACCGAACAGATATTGGGGAAGAGGAGGGTATCTGGGGCAGGTGTGTGAATTGTTCTGATCATGGCCAGCCATCTCACCAGGTATTAGTAACTTGTGTGCAGCAAGGTTTGCGACTATGATGGTGATCATGAGGAGGAGGAGGAGGAGGAGGAGGAGGAGGGGGGAGGAGGGAGGAGGAAAACTGTTCTTATGCATCCTGCTTGTCCTTAATGCTTGCTTAGTTTTCCAAGTATGGATCTGTGTAGGGTTTGTAGGCTGTAAAGACAACTGGCCAGGTTCTCCAGCTGTGGTCAACCAAGCCCATCAGCGAGAACTGGAAGCATGAGGAACTGACATTTCGTTAAAACTGACATTTTTTCTAAAAACACGAATTTCAAATCGAAGTCCCTATTTTTTGTCCAAAACAAGGCATTTTTCACAAAAATGTGACATATTCGATCCTATGGTACTATGCTGCACATCTGCAAATTTTATGTCAGTTTTGTTTGATTTTTTTCAGTTTGCTCTTTTTTAGTGACTGGGTCATTAGTTTAACTTCGAAATCAGCCACTTTTTCGCAACTTTGCTTGTGTCCGCTGTTTTTGTGTCGTGTACTTGTTGTTATTACTGTTATACCGCGTTCCACGCGGGGACGCAGCCATTCGGGCAGCATGTGTCATGTTCCAGACAGTAAGCTTGTTAAAGGTCTTCTCAAGTGGGGGACAGTCAGCCTTCTGGATTTGGCAGGCTAGGGCCAGAAGTTGTGGTGGCCCTGACGTTGCATATGTTAGACCTTGGCCAGGGGGCCAGGCGATTAGACACTGCCTGTGATACCTAGAACTGCATTCCTCATACTTAGAAGTGCATTCCTCATATCGGGTTGCAATAGCATGTTAATACCACCACGCGACCTTTAACGCGCTGCATCAGACGGGGGTGGGGGAACCAACGACCGGTAATGAAAAATAAAAGGGGTAACTTCAGTAGAGTCACAAAAACGAGTTATAATTGCAGTATGGGGCAAGATACAGTTTGCAATTGCACTTTGGGCACCCTACCTGGCCAGAAAGCTGGTTTGTATACATTGGCCCAACTGCAATTGCAAACTGTATCTTGGCCCATACTGCAATTATAACTCGGTTTTCTGACTCCCGCGTAGTTTCCCCCCCAAAAAAACAAAACGAAAGGGGACAACGGGGGCAGCACAGAGAGAGAGAGAGAGAGAGAGAGAGAGAGAGAGAGAGAGAGAGAGAGAGCCGACCCGTTCGACATGGCAATGCACCGGCTCTCTCTCTCTCACTCTCTCTCTCTCTCTCGGCACGTGGCAACGCACCGTCTCTCTCTCTCTCTCTCTCTCTCTCTCTCTCTCTCTCTCTCTCTCTCTCTCTCTCTCTCTCTCNTCTCTCTCTCTCTCTCTCTCTCTCTCTCTCTCTCTCTCTCTCTCTCTCTCTCTCTCTCTCCCGCCCGGTGTATTTCTTCGTTTCTCTTTTTTTATTTTCAGAGGCTGGTTTGTTTTCTTTTTTTTACTTTCGTTTTTTTGTTTTCGAAAAATGAAGAAAAACCTGTTTTCGAAAAATGAAGAAAAACCTGCTACCCGTAGCTCTAGGCTCGGCAAGGCTCGGCTTACCCGGTAGCGGGAGGCTTGGACTCGATAGCTGGGCGAGGAACTGGTGGTTTAAACCACCAGTACCTCTCTCAGCTATTGATGCCGAGTCTAAAAATGCCCTGCGAGCCAATTTTTGTTGAGCCTGCAAGTGAAAGGTACCAGCACAAGGGAAAAAGAGGGCGGTTCCGGTACCCTCCTCTCTGAAACCCTTCTGCTGGACCTCTGACCAGCAGAGGGAATACAAAGAAGGTCGTCGTTTTCACGCACGAAAAACAAAAGAAGTGAAAAAAATAAATAAATGAAAGACGCCGAAGGCATTCAAGTGCTCCCCACCTCTGACGGGAGTCTTTTTTTTAATCTGGATTCTGGAGAGGATAGCGGCCTTTCCGGTCTTTTTTATTTTGCATTGTAGTATTACTGTGGGAACCCCGTAGCAGTCAGCCCGTGTTCAAGCCTCCAACGAGGGAACATGGGCGGGCTGGACTCTACTTGCAGGTGGGCGATACCGGCCAGGGGTCAGCCGGTAGCATCAGGACCGAGCTTCTTCGATGGGTCAGTCGCTGTGCCTCCCCTCCAGTCTCCTCCCCCTACAAACATTAGCAGTCACTGCTCAATGCCACTCGGGGGGACCAAGGGGCTCTCTCTTGGTGGCAGCCGCCAAGCTTGAGCAGGAAGGTACATGAGCCGAATGGGGATTGAGCCCGAGACCTCCTGAATGCCCCTCGCGTCCCTTACCTTACCAGCTGATCGACGGGGAGCCCCTGATAAACAACCGAGATTCTGCTTCCTCAGGAAAGAAAAAAAAGAGTCCAGTTGATGTAGCTCAGTGGTTAGAGCACCGGTTGGAAATGCGCATTGTGGTATAAGGTTGCGGGTTCAAACCTCAATTGCAGCCTTGCGCATGGACACCGGCAGGGCGTTAGAATGACGCACAGCTGGACACACATTCCCTTGGGCTGACGCACGGTAAGCTTATGCAGACACTGCCTGTGCACCACCCAAGGGTTGTCCATGGTGTTGTATGTCGGGTTTTGATACTGCGTGGGTTGCTTGTGGCTGTTGCTCGTGGTTGTTCTGAAGATCTCCCCTGTCACGGATTCGAGTCTGACTTGGGAGTTTGGGGGGGGTTCTTGTCCAGCTTGGCCTATCATCTCTTCAAATGAACACAGAGTTCCCTCTACATAGTACTGCACATATCTGGCCTTCAGGCACATACATCTCGCTATACAGTTAGACAGAGCACACATACCCTTTGGGCAGATACACAAACACATAGCCCTATGGGCTCATACAAACATACATAGCCTCTGGCCATACACRYATACACACAACTACGATACTGGGCAGGGGGGGTATATCAGGTACTATATGACGGGGTCTGCTCACGCATGGCTTAGCTCTAGGGTAGGAGTAGGGATATAAGTCGCTCCGGCTAGTCTGAGTTCCGCCTAGCCTTGGATAAGCTAGGGGAAGGACGGTAGGATGTGTCCGCGGGCGCTGGCCTGCCTTGGTTAGGTAATCCTGCTGGGTAGACTCTCTGAATTGGGCCTGCAGAAGATTGCATGAGCCTGGCGTTCGAAGTTCCCGTACGGCAAGGTTCGTCCGCTTCCGCTTCCATCAGGGCTGGGAGGTTGGCCCAGCCTTGGTGCTTGTCACTACTGTCTGCTCCAAGTTGTACTCGATACTGGTAGGGCGATGGTCCTGAGTGCTGGTCATAGTGAGGTAGGATAGTAGTGACAGGGGGTGCGCTGGGAGTATTAACGTTGGGATGGGTAGGGTAGGTGGCCTATCCTGTCAGGACATCCATTGGCTGCCGCTACCAGGAATCACCGCGGGTCTGGTCCTTGCCCTCTAAAACACCCTAAGAAAAAAAAAAAAAAAAGGAAAAAAAAGAAAGGAAAGAAAAAAAAAGAAAAAGTTCAAAAATGAATAGCAAGCTACCGAGGCCTTGTCGTACCACCACATGCCTGGCCAGAGGTACAGCCAGATGCATTGTGGACAGGGCTGTGTGAGAATGCCTTGAAAAGAAGGGGGCTGACAAAGCAATAGGGCGTCGGCCCACTACTCTCGACATGCCCAAAAGACACAAATCATGGCCGTGTGTCTTTCCATGTTTTAGCGGAAAATTGATTCCCATTTTGCACGAGGCCCATGGATTGCTCCCCCCGCCTCTCACGCTGAGTCACGTGAGAAACAGAAGACATTCTTCTTCCGAAAAAAAAAACAAAAAAAACAAAGGCAAAATGTCAGTTTAACCTTTGAACTACTTGACATGTATCTACCCATGTTCTACAGGACTGTTCATTCTCATTTTGCACATTCTGTGAGTCGTGGAGCGAGGCCCTAGATCTCGATAGCTCTTTTTTTGCCTTTTTTCTCAGTAAGCCCTTCCAACAAGGCAGGGCACTCCCTTCTCGTTTTTCAACACTTCGTAGCAGTAAACAGATGAATGCTTCCCATATTTCTCGGGAGATGCAGTTCAAACTGGAAAACAAACCAAAAGCAGAAATGCCTCAGGCCCAAATCGTCCGCCCCTATTTTGAAATGGGAAGAAATGCCACCCCTCAAAAGGGAAACTGTGGACGGCGCCTTATGCTGATTTTCGAACGACCTGGACAAGCTAACCTGCCCTATGACCGGTCTTAGGGATGACTGCGACCGAACCCTTTTTCTGCTTTCGGAAACCCCAAACGGACCCATCCTAGCAACGCTGAACTGCACGACATTACCCAAAATGGAAAGGACACGAAACGACGAAATGCAAACCACACAAGGCGCAGCCTCCTGGCTGCGAATTTGATGTTTTGTTGCTTTTTTTTCATGCACATATCCATTTCACGTGTATGGAGCACTTCATGCTTTGTTTTTTTTTGCCATTGTGTACTTTTCCCTATTTTTTGTGCGACGGTAGCTCATTTTATTCATTATTTCAATGTTTTTTTTTCCTAGCTTGTGTATTCTGTGCATTCATTATTTCATTGTCATGTGCAGTGTAACATAGATTTTTCAGGCATTTGCACTTGTTTATTCATGTTTTGTGTGTTATTTGTGTGTTTTACTTCTGGCTACGACTGAATTGTCATTGATTCGTCTTCGGACGAGCAGCTCCGTTTTCTACCACACAAATTTATTTTGTTAATTGGTGTGTTTTTGAGTATTGTACACTCCCTTTTTAACACTGTTTGTTGCACACACGCATAACACGCATACACACACACACACACGCACACACACACACACACACACACACACACACACACACACACACACACATGGATGCACATACGCACAAACACATACACAAACACACACAAACACACACAAACACAAACAAACAAACACACTTAGTTTTATTCACGAACACATGCATCTATGTATACACGCATTGCTTCTGATCAATATATGTTGTAATTGTCTCGCATTATGTCGATACATAGGTTTCTTGTACAATTGCAGTCTGACGCGCGCACACACACACACATACACACACACACACACACACACACACAAACACACACATACATGGATGCACATACACACAAACACACATATAAACACACACACAAACACACTTAGTTTTATTCGCGAACATATGCATCTACGTATACACGCATTGCTTTTGATCAATATATGTTGTAATTGTCTCGCATTTTGTCGATACATAGGTTTCTTGTACAATTGCAGTCTGACGCGCCCCCCCCGCCCCCCCCCCACCCACACACACATA